AAAAAAAAATGTAAATATCTTTCTAAAAAAATATTTCTCATTCGAGTTTAAAATTAAATTAAAATTTCGTTTAAACAATTAAAATATTAGCAACGTCTCATATTGAAACTATAGTTTTAACTACTTGTAAACTAAATCTGTGATTTTGAACACTTTTTTTAATGATTACAATAATTTGTACCATTTTAAATCTGCAATTGAATTACTCTAACTCAATATAATTATTTCATTTATCTATGTAGATTTCATAAATTTATTGTGCTTGTAAAGAAATAGAAACGTTTTTTGCGTTTCATGTCTAATTAAAACTGATTGTTCCATTGAAGAAAGTTATTACGATACAATATCAAGTATCTGTGTAGTTTCTAATAGTGATATTCTGTAACAAGTTGTTTAAAGATAGTTACATCATATCGTCAGTATATTCTTACACTAGACATGTGTTTTGTTTCTTTCAACAATCTCATAGATGTAACACAACTAATGGTTCATAAACTTTTTAATTTTGTAATTAATCAAGAAAAATCTTCACAGCATTTTTATAATTTCTATTTAAATAATTACAAAACAATATTCTATTACGTTAGTAAAATATTGCTCACAATCAGTCAAATTTGCTGACTCTTATTAGATTATTATCACAAACGTTACATTATGAAATTGTTGGATAATGATCCCTATTACCATTTTGTACAATAAAAGTACTCCTTTATCGCTTCAAATGAAATGTAAATTTATCAAGCTTTGCTTTCTGCAAATATATAAAAGGATTAAGAAACGTAATTTTAATGATTGTAATATTTAGCACATGATAAAATCATGTTGTAACTTACGTATGTTTTATATCTTATCTTAAAACAAAAATTTGCTTAGAGCCTGAAACATGTGTTTCATTTATTAATTTTACATAAACTTTTGGTTTCAGTTCAGTCTTATTGATAAAAATACGATACATGTAGAAAGTATACTATCGAGACAGAAACAATTTGTTTGATTAACTCTTTATTTTTGTTTTTCTTTTTTTTTATTAGTGGGTGCACAAGCAGCCCTCTATAACGAAGTTTTGATGTCAATATAGACTTTAAAAATCTGTTTTCTTAAATCATTGAAAACATGGAAGCTGCAAGCATTCCATTGAAGTGAATATTGTGTTTGAGAATATGTTTCAAAGAGAGTTTGCCTTTCCATTTCTTTGTACCTTAAATATTCACAATAAATAGATTTAAAAAAAAAGAGAAAAAAAAAGAACAGAAATTGCAAGAGTATAATACTTAAATCTAAAACAATTGGAATTGGTATTTCCTAATATATAACAAAATGTATAAATAACATAAGAAATATTTTACAAAGTCTTACATAAGAAACACGATTTCATTATAAACATGATCAAAGAATAAATTTTCTACGTAATTAAGAAAATATACATCCATATTTAGTACAAAGTAATTGTCTTGTGTCTAAAAATGATTGAGGTTTTAAATGAATTATAAACTATACAAAGCTAATAGGAAGAATATAAAAGAATAGTCTAATAAAAATGACTTCATCTTTAGAAAGGCAAAGTCTTGTAAAACGAATGTATTACTTATATAATGCTCATCGATCGGCGGTAGCGTTTTCTAGTATTAATTATAACAACAGGAACCGATACAGGAGCGGGAGGAGTTACGGGTGTAACAGGGGTTATCGGTGTAAGAGGAGTTAAGGGAGTTTCAGCCATTTGGGCTGAAGAGGGGGGCCTGAGCTACCAAATGTAGTTTTCGGTTTGAGGAGCCCGCATTACTCCCACACCTCCACCGAGTCTTCTATAATTCATACAACCACATAGTTTCCATTGATTTTGTTCCGAATCGTACACTTCGATTGTTTTTAAATAGGCAGTTCCATCAAATCCACCCACCGCATACAATAAACCATTTACTACTGCTAAACCCACCTGAAAATACAACAAACGAAATTTATTAAGAACTCGTGCGGTCTCATAAAATATTATTTTTACTTTTGACAGAATAATTTTAAGATATATCGTAAACATCGAGGTGACTTACTCCGCTTCTTCTCGATGTCATAGCAACTATTGGACTCCAAGAATTTGTATGAGGGTTATACCGTTCTGCACTCGAAAGTTCCATGCAATCATCTCGTCCTCCAACGGCATAAATTAGATTATTAAATACCGCACAGCCTAAATGCTTACGTCTTGTAGACATAGGTGATACTTGAGACCATTTGTTTTGCCTCGGATCGTATCTTTCTACTGTATTTAAAGGCGACTGTCCATCAGACCCGCCGATGGCATATAAATAACCGCCTAGCACAGCAACAGCTACTCCAAGTCTTCTAGTGGTCATTGGTGATACTTTGGACCATTTATTTTCCTTAGGATCATACCTGTACATAACAAATTCGTTCTTTTATATATATATTAGCGGATGTAGAGAATTTCTGTAAAACTATATTAATTTCTATATTTTATGATGTAAATAAAATAAATAAAAAGTTTATTTCGTATTCTATTATTGTGTTTTATAAAGTAAAGAATGGAAGAGATAGTATTTTAACAATGATGGATAAAACGTGAACATACAAAAGAGAAAAAGTTCATTTATACGTGTAATATAAAAGAAAAGATTTTGATGTATATGCAATTAGTGAACGAGACTCTGAATAATTGAATTTAGCTAGATGGCAATAGAATATTCATGAAACAGAATAATTTACCTTTCCACGTGGTTTAAACATTGGACGCCATCCTGACCACCTACCGCGTAAAGAAAACCATCCAATACTGCAACACCTACGCTAGTTCGACATGATGTGGTAGGTGCAACATCACAGGACCACTGATTCGTTTGTGGATCATATCGTTCGATACTATTTAAGTAACTTTGTCCGTCATGACCACCTACTGCGTATAACAAATCGTTCAGTACGGCCACTCCAACACCACATCTTCGTTTGCTCATTGGTGCGACCATTTTCCAATCCGCAGTATTGGGATCAAATCTTTCCACACTAGCGATCGCATCACCAGAACACCATCCCCCGACAGCAAAAAGAACTTCACCACGTCTGGTCGGTTTTCTAGGTCGTGTTCTAGGTCCTTGCATCAACGGTCTTTCTTGAGGAAGTAGTAAATAATTTTTTGCTTCGTCTACTAAGTCTCTGCATGCATCATCAGATCTAACTAAAAGGTCAGAACCTACGGTCCCGACTAAAAATTTTGGGCTAAGGAGGGGTAGTCGTACGTGTTGAAGAACTTGTGCCAAATGTTGCCTTCTCTCAGTGACATTATATTTAACCCAATTCATAACTGCACTGAATACCTGTTCTTCCGTTCGGACATTCAACTCGTCCGATGAAATAATATCTACTAATTGGCCAACAGGTAACAAAAGAAATTCTTCACTTTCCATTACCTGGAAACAAAGATACAAACGACTATTGCAAATTTAATTATTGGATACAATCAGAAAATGAAGAATACATACTTCTTGAAAATTGTGCTGCGTGAATTTGTCCGCGATTCGTAGAAGTTCACGACAAGAATGAGTATCTGCAAACGCCCGTATACCTAGACAATTCGACGGATCTAGCTGGCGTTTGAGAAATTCGCAACAGATATCTTGAATCTCTGCTAGCTGGAGAAGGCACGCTGCTGGTAGGAGAGTTTGAACGTTCGCTTCCTCGACAATGATGTGAGAAGTGTAACAGAAGTCTATCAGTAATTCCATCGCCATTTCATCTATGTCACGTATCGTGACTTCAGTTTGTCGAGATTCCGCCAGCTCCCCAGTAAACATCGCTCTACAAAAATGAGTTTAGTGAATTTAAATCTCTGCAGATTCAATCGTAGCAACGATGATTGTAGTACCTTACCGGAAGTACGGACTACACGCCGATAAAATAACACGGTGTGCGAATATCTTTCTAGAGCCGACATTGAGAACAACATCACACAGTTCCCGATGACGACGAAGAACATTGAGTTCAGTGAGTGTAGCACGAGGATGTTTCTCTGATGTGTGACTGAGGCGGGCTGGGGAAGGTGCGCGTTCTACGACCATCTCACCCATCCTCTGCGAGGATGGGGCGCCCGCGGCAACTCTCCCCGAGGCGCCCCTAGACCCCCCTAGCTGGAGGCGCAGCGGGGGTGACGCCCAACCCCACACCGAGTCTATCTGCAACACCATTCACCAACCACCACGGCTCTTGAACGTGCCCGTACCAGGCCTCCTGATCTTCTCAAATTCCTAAAATCAAAATATTCATCTTATTTTTCTGAGCAATTTAACTGACCTCTAATTCTCAGAGTGATTTTATTTTATAGAATGTATCATACTTGACAAAT